GCTTCCTGCCTTTGTTTCTTCCTTTCCCTGTGCTGGTCCTCTGAGGCTGAGGAAGTGGAGGGAGCAGAGATGAGCTAATAGGGTTGCTGAAAATCAAGAGTCTTATATAACTGTCTCAGGGATAAACAAGCTCACAATGTAAGTAATAAATGAAAGAGGAGGAGGGTGCAATTCACAAGTTCAAACAGCACAGGGAGCAGCTGCCCTTAAACTAGTAGGTATGCACTGAAGACTTGGGTCACACCAAGCACTGTTTGCATCCAAAGGGACCGGCAAAGTGGGGCAAAACAAAGAATCATAAAACAGGATGTTGGCCTAAGATGTCAATGCCCTGAAGATATCTGTAGAGCAAAAGAGGTAAGGCATGAGCACTTGAAAGGAAATAACCATGCATAATTCAACTACATGGACAGCACCCAGACCCGTATTTCAGGCCTGTTTCTTTCTTGCCTGCAATAGTGCTTCAGGAGGGTTTGAGCATGCCATATAGCATAAGAGCCCCAGGACGTCCCAGCAGAGACCACCAAGGGGGACCATAAGGGCAGTAGTCCCCAGCACCCAAGTATGTTTGCTCAACTTTTATTACACTGTGCACCAATGATTCTAAAAATAATATCAATGGTAAAAACAAACTACCCCCAACATCTCCCCCCAGTATTTCATTGGTCAGTGTTAAGCAATCCTGGCAGTTAACTTGAGTTTTAATTTTATCCACATGCAAACTTCATGTTAGTTAGCATTCTATCACTGTGACAAAGCGTTTGAGACAGAGCAACAGAACAGTCATATTTAGGCTCAAGGTTTCAGAGGTGTCTGTCCACGGTTGCTTGGCAACCCCTGTGACAGCATACTACATCACAGCAGAAGCAAGTGGCAGCCAGGAAGCAATGAGAGAAGGTGTAGGGTTTCCAATCCCCCTCCAAGGGCATGCCCCATGATCTAACTTCCTTCTACTACGCCTCATCTCCCCAAAGTTCCACCACCACCCAAAGGTGCCACAGCTGGCCACCAGACATTTAGTACAAGAGCCTCTTGGGGAACAGTTCATAGGGAAACTATAGTATGTATACATTTACATTGTTGACTAACCTTTGTATCCTAGGAGGAAGCTGATATATAAATGTATACCTATATAGCTTTTGATACAGATGGACAGGATATTCATGTCCCTTGTGGAGCTAAAGAATGCTGGAGTTTATTTGCGGAACAGTTCATCTTCAAAGCCTGCAACAGAACTGATCCCTGCATTTTTTATTTTTATTTTTTTGGTTTTTTTGAGACAGTGTCTCCCTGTAGCCCCAGCTGGCCTGGAACTCACTTTGTAGACCAGGCTGGCCTTGAACTCACAGAGATCCATCTGCCTCTGCCTCTCAAGTGCTGGGATTAAAGGCATGTGCCACCAGATCCCTGCATTTTTAACAATAGATTTTTTTAAACAATAGTATGTGACTAAAAGAATAAAGAAACAAAACTTGGGTTATGTCAGTTTTTTGTTTTATGTGACCTCTGGCAGCTTTTATTTGTTTTGGAAATTCAAGACAGTGAGATAGAGTGCAAACTGTGAGATATGTTTTTGTTAAATAAGTATAAATTTTAGTGCATGCGTGAAATATTTTGCTGACTGAATAGCATCTTTAAAGCTGAGATTTCCTCTTTGTTAGTTTTAAGACAAAATAACAAAATAGAAATAATTGTTACCGAATAGTACATAATGATTAGTAAAAATTAATGTGGTAGGGGGAAGAGAGAGAAAAGGAGAGAGAGAGAGAGAGAGAGAGAGAGAGAGAGAGAGAGAGACCTAGTCTATGTTTAAAATATGCTAAGATACCTGGTTTTAGGGAATTTCAGAACTTACTCTGGAAGAATTAGGGCCAGACTCATACTTGGTAGAGTTGGCCCATTTTCATACGTAAGGCAGCTCTAGCCATAACCTCCCTATCACCTTCCCTGTTTTCTAATGCTTTCTACTCTGAGCTGCTTATAATTCCAATGTTGCATAGTCCAAAAAATAGAGTTGACTACTTTCTTTTAGCTCTGTTACTCCTCTTTCTTTCCTTCCTTTTTTCTTTCTTTCCTTCCTTCCTTCCTTCTTTCTCTCTTTTTTTGAACCATAGCTTAGTCCTTTGAAACCTTCATATTTAGTTTATCTTATAAAAACTCATGTGCTGAAGCCTTGGTCCTCAGGGTGATGATGTAAAGAATGTGGTGTGGATCCTTTAAGAGGTAGAACCTAGAGGGAGGTGATTAGTTCATTGAAGGTTCTGTCCCCAGAAGAGATTAAGATAGTTCTTGTGGGACCTTGGTTAGTTCCTTGAGAATGAATTGTTATAAAGAGTAAGCTTGACTGTTTCCTTCTCTTTTGTCATATAATCTCTCATCCCAATATTTTGATTCCATCTACCATGAGACCTTTGCCAGAGTTGAGCATGTTCTTGACCTTCGAGAACTGTGGGTTAAATAAACCTCTTATTGTTAGCCACCACTCAGCTGCAGGTATTCTAATATAACAATGGCAAATGCACTAAGAAACATACCTAGAAGGGAAAATGAACTAAGAAAGGGTTCTCTTGGAAAGAATGGAGATCTTGAAGAACTCATCCTCTCCTCCCTCTCAATTAGAAACTGATCAGAAATGATCGTTTAAGAAGGCCATTTACTACAGGCTGAAAAATATGAATCATGACCAGGGGATTTATCAGAAGTATTAAAAGAAGACATGTGGGACTGATTTCCAAAGTAGGAAAGCATTATTTCCCTGGAACCTATCCAGGGAAAACATAGAACTGGGAATTTCAGCATTTTGCAAGAAAATGGAGCAAAGCTTAATCAAGAAAGGCTCAGGGACAGCGGGATGATGAGAGGTTAATGGGTAACATGGCGTGTTTATGAGAAACTGGGCTCGCCAAGCAAACTCCACCTCAAGACTTCAGTTTCAGGGCTGGCAAATGAGGTGGCTTCAGACCACTTCATAGATCTTCATTTTGGTGATGGATTTGATGTGAAGACTGGAACAGGGAATCAGAAAGTGACTAAAAGATCCACAAAAATGTGGCACTGCCTCAAACCCAGACAGGAGGTTTCCAGCAATACACCAAAAGGATCTCTCTCTTTCTCTGGGCTGAGTTGTTTTGTTGTTTTGGAAAGAGAATAAAATGGCAGGGTACTGGATATGAGTATCTGAGTTTATAGCCAATCCATGTGACAGAGAACTGGAGGGACTCACAGAGGCTGTAAGCAATACAAGCCACACTCGGCACACCTAGGCAGATGGGATGTGAACTGGACCAGAGCTGACATGGAGAAGCAGAGCCCTTGGAGCCCAGCTGGCAGAGTGCCACCCTTTCAGACTCTGACAGGGAAGAGCATTCAGAACAGACTCCCAAGACATAAGAGCCTGGCAAAACATCGTAGGTTGTTAAACTAGAAAAAGAGAAGCCTCGGGGACAATGCAGTATCTTCTTCATGCATCTAAAGGGCTCATTGGCGGCAAAAGACAGTTGTGGACTGAACTGTGGCACTCTCAGCCTTATACTGAAACCCTAACTTCCCAGTCCCTCAGAATATGACCTTCTATGTCTTGGATTTTGTGACTAGCGCTGCAGCAAGCATGGAAGTGTAGATGTGTCTTTGGATCCCGATTTCCACTGGACAGAATTAGAAAATACAAGGTGTTAGTGGAGGAAATATTTCAAGACCCTAACCAGCAAAACATGAAGAATGGTGATGCATTAAAGATCTATCGGTATGATATGGCCTCAAAACAGGCTGCAAAATAGGAACATTGTCTGTAGAAGTAAAAAACCTGCAGTTTCAGGTCAAGATATTTCCTGTTCTGCCTCCAAAGATGTGTGCCCTCGGTCTCTCTGCATGACTTCACTGTGGGACGTCACTCGGCTCAAAGTCAGGGCCATGACAAGGGAACAAGCAGTGTTAGGCACTTGGTGGTAAGGGAAAACAACTATTCTTATCAGAAATTATTTTCCCCAGAGCTAAAACGTAAAACTTAATTTGCATGCATATATGCACATCATACCCCCCTACAGAGACTCAGAAAGAGAAAGAGAGAAATCACAATTTTGAAAGAAATTTACCTGTTATAGATTTCATACTATAATGACCTTTCCTATACAAATGTAAAGCTATGTTTTTTAATATATTGTTTTACTTAGTCTTCCATCACTGTGATCAAAACTTGAGAAAATCAACTTAAAAAGGGAAGGATTTATTAGGGCTCATTCAGGGGTTTTGGTCCATGGTCCCTTGGCCAGGTAGCTTTGGGCCTGTGATGACACAATGCATCTCAGTGGAGGGAAATCCATTGCAGAAGACAACTGCTCATCTCACAGTAGCTGGGAAGAGAGACAAGAAGGGACAGAGGTTCTAATGTCCTCCTCAAGGGCACACCCTTCAAGGGCACACCCTCAGTGCTCAACTTCTTCCCAATAGGCCATACCTCTTAGAGCTTCCACCACCTCCCAGAGTGCCACAGGCTGGCAACCAAACCTTCAGCACATGGCCTTTGGGAGACATTCACGATCCAAAACATAGCACATTGTTAGTAATAAGAAATGATGGGTTGTGACTTTATCCCATGTATACTCAAGCAGAATGGTGGGTTTTAGTCTTTTTAAGTCAGCTCATTTGAAAGGACTACAGGCTCTGTGAAGTTTGAGACCTTGGCTTTGAATAAACTTCTATTACCCATCTGAAAAATGGGACCTGCTTCACCTCCTTCATCAAATCAGGGAGACGGCTTCATGGGACTGACCTGGTCAGGAGTGTTAGGCTGGCAGTGCATGTGTGTCCTCCCTCACATCCATGTAACTTTGGCATGGTGACTGTAGATTGTAGGTGTCCATCCTCCTCAGAACGTAATGTAAATGTTCTTAACACCAGGAGAAGCAAGAGTCAATTTATCCTGATAGAGCCAGTCAAAATGAGGAATAATGTGTGAAATTAAGGTGGATAAAATTTTAAGAAAAGGAAAACTTGTGTTCGGCAGGATCTTTTAGGTAATGAAGTGGTTGCTAAAGAGACTTGAAACGGCACCAAAAGGAGCACTGAAATGGCCTGCACCTCTGCCCACTACAAGGTTGGTGCTTAAGCCTGCACGCAAGCCCCTCTTAGCCTGCAAAACTTCTTTTTCTTTAATTTTATCCTTTTCCCAAGGATGCTTCTTGCTCTGAACTGTTCTTTATCTGATCTTTATCTCCAGTCAGATCCTGCTATGGTTTAAATTGCCCCGCATTTATCACATCCAATGATAGAGCAGTGTCTTACAGAGGCACCCACCATCTTCCTCCTCAGATCACCCTCAGTACCTTCCTGTCATCCTGTACCTGGTTTGCAGCAGGTCCTCCACAGCCTTGGCCTGATTCCTCTATGTGGCACCAGCCTCTTCATTAGGCATACTAGAGCTGGCTAATGTCAGAGCTGGCCGATGCATCAGAATGCAGGGCATGCCTTAGGCTCCTGGGAGGTTGCACATTCCGCATGAAATATGAAGGCAGCAGCCAGCCCTGGAGAGACCCAGGGAGAGTTTAGTGGGATAGAAGCAAAGGTGGCTCCTGAGGAGGGGGTTCTGTGTTTTCAGACAGATGAAGTAGGCCCCCATCATATGTTTTAAAGGTACCTTTTGTGTGGGAGAGAGGGAAGCAGGGAGGGACACCTGGTTTGTGTATCCTTATCCTCCGCAGCTCCTGACACTGGTGCATTCTTTCTGCATATACTCACAGGCTATCTGTGATTATGGTGATGTGCCCTTTTGAGATAGGCAGCGAGCTCCCTCTCCCACTGTGCTCATCACTGATTCTTGAGTTTCTCTTTGGGGACAACCTGAAATCACAGGAACTGTCTATGTGGATTTTGGAGTACCTGATAGTCAGAAGCATAATAAAAAGTAATGATTGCCCAGCAAACCCTCGGGATGTTTGTTGCATACCTCCTTGGGCTTGCAGAGGTTAAGCATACTTAACAAGGGGTGGCCCCAGGTGGCTCTGAGCCTGTCCTCAGCTCTCCAGAATCTTCCAGTATTTTTGTTGTTGCTGTTCAAGACTCTGTGAAGACATTGTGAGGTTGGGGGGGGTGGATCCCTCCCTCCCCCCGCAATCACCAAGAGCCTGTTGTGCATCTTGGACATGTTATGGAGAGATGTTCTGTGCATATTATCCCTTACACAATGTCCTATGTGGAGTATACAGATCTCTACTCTAGCCACTCTACCCATGAAGCAGAGAGATAGCAGCATTTATCTTTATATAACCAAAGTATAACATAGCAATAAGTACTCAATAAAAGCTGAATAAATTATATTTGGTAAGACTTCCTTCACAACTCAGCACATGTATGTCATTAAAAAGCATGGATACTAGTCCCTCCTAATATAGAAAATTATAAAGGCCATTATCCTCATATATCTGCATGTATACCCACATGTATATTCACCTTAAACAGACTCTCAGGTTATGATCTCCGTGGCTTCCTTGGTAGTCACTAACAACTCAAAGCAGTGACACCATTCTGACTTCTGGGATGGGAAGTCTTGCTTACCCCTACCTGTGACAGAAACCATCTGTATGCCTTGCTTGTCAGACAGATGCGAGTTTCTTAGGGGAATTCCAGAGTCTTCCTGAGGACACATTTGTTGACAGGGTTTTCTACTGACTGTGTGCTTCCAGGAGACACTTTCCATGGGGTGTCAAAGCTATCCTGCTTGTTGAGACAAGGTAAGATGATCTATATGCTTATCTTACACATGGGAATCTTTAGCAAATATAATTCTATTTGATGGCTTTCTGAAGCCAAGAAAGGTTTGCTTCAGCTGGGCCTGGTAGAGCATGTCTAGCACTCAGGAGGCAGAGACAGTCAGATCTCTGTGAGATTGAGGCCAGCCTAGTCTACCTAGCCAGTTCCTTGTCAGCTAGAACTATAAGGGACACCCTGCATTGAGAGAGAGAGAGAGAGAGAGAGAGAGAGAGAGAGAGAGAGAGGGAGGGAGAGGCTTCCTTGTGGAATGAGAAGAGACTATGCTTCTGTTTGGTTCCCAATATAGCAGGATTCAACTAAACTGAAATGTTGTCTTCTCACAAGACTGGAAGCTCTAGGGAGCAGGTCACTATGTGCCCCCATTCATCAGTGTGTCTTAGTGGCCTGAACATTTCCTAGCCCAGAGTAAGCACTCACCTAACATCTGGTTGACAACTGCAAAGGGAAGTGTAACACTTTAGCCAGGTAAAGGTCCAGGGTATGTCAATTAGAGTTTTCTTTAGATTTGGTGTTCAGATGTTGAAAGAGACAAGTTCAACTTCTGCCAGCTACTAAGTTGGTGTTAGAAATTTATTAGAAGGAAAGGAAAGGGGGGTTGAGGGAGAGGGAGAGAGACTAGACTCCAGACTTTTAGACTTTTGTATATTCAGCTCTAGCTGGAGATATAACCAAAAATGTCTTGGCTATATGAACCAATAAATTCCTTATTTATTTGTTTATTTCAGTTAATATAGAAGTGAGGTTTCTACCACTTAAAACCAAAAGTGGTCTGACTGGCATATTCTTTCTTACTATCCCTATCTGCTTTGAAAGTTCATTACATAATGCTAACTGCTGTTCCTCTCTTAACATTTGGTGCAAGTAGATCTTCTAAATGTCTCATTTTCATATAATTCGCATCCATCCAGCCCATCTCTCCTGCTTGCTTCAAGTAGAATTGTGTTTAAACCACATACTCAGGACGGATGTATTGTGCGAACTCACAGATCTAGAGAATTTTATAGTCTCCCTGGCGACAGACTCTGCAACCCTAGAACACACAGTGCCACCTCAACAGCGCACATCCGTGTTACAACAGGCCTTGCTGAGGACGCCTGGTTCTGACTCAGCTCTCAATTGTTCTTTTTTAAGAATGGAGCTAGATATCTAGAAGGCCAGTGTATGGAGGATAGGCAAGGGAAGAAGACAGACATTCCTTAGGCAAACTTTGCCCATGGTTTTATATATCCCTGGCTGTTAAGTCCAGACTCTAAGGCTCAAAATAGGTCAGCTGTCACTTGCTCACAGGCTGAGATACTTAAGTGACAGAGCAGGTTTGTCTGAACTGAGTGTGCATGAGTTTTCTCTTTCTCCTGAGTTGCTTCCTGGGGCATATTCTGATGTATCATGCAGACCACACAAGGTCTAACTGTATTTATTCCTACTTCATGCTAACATGAAGAGGGAATTTATAGACTATCCCTTCCACGGTGTGAAAAAATTGCTTGACATAGGGATGAACAGAAACAAGAGAAGTCTGGAGTCTAGTGTCCTTCCTCTGTGGCCCACCCAGCCTCTGGGGTTGAGAGTACAGCCTGGGAAGGCGTTCTGTTCCCAAACAAGTAGGATGCCTCTGGCTGGGTGACAGCCATCGACCCACCTCATTTTTGTTCTGCAGGTGTTGGAAAGAGGATGTGGCCATTCTTAACTCTCAACAGGGAAGGGTGGAAAATGCTGCACTGTGCATGCATGAGGGTGAACATGAGCATGTGTGTATGTGTGGTCCTTGGAGCAAAGGGCCGGGCAGGGACCAGCCTGCAAAAAAAAAAAAAAAAAAAAAAAAAAAAAAAAAAAAAAAAAAAATTCAAGAAACTGAAACATTTTCCACCGAGAAATAGAATTACTGCCCATGGAATTCTTACCCAGCCCTAGAAGAGAGCAGCAACCCCTCCTTTTCATTAGTTAAACAAAGAGGGTTATTTTTCAAATGAAAACTTTTAGCGTGGAAAACAATCTAATTCCCAGGGCTTTGTTGAGAAGTGAGATTCTCAGTGCTCCAATAAACATGTCTATGTGGACATGCAGCTACAGAGGGCAGTGCTGGTACCCTGATCAAATGATAGGGCAGGCCAGGCCAATGGAGGTGGGAGTGGGCACAGGACTTAGCTTCAGGCCTCTCAAAACAATCCCAGGTAGAAAGGCCAGTGGAGGGAATGAACCACGGCCTGGGAAGGGTTCAATTGTTGTGCAAGGGGAAAAAATGTGAAAATACAAAGATTTTCTGTAAGTCCATTAAATGATCCTCTTTCTTCCTCCAAGGCAAGGAGCTCCTTCTGGTTGGACCTAATGATCTGTGAACTGAAGCCCTGCTTGGTTCAGTAGGGTGTGCTCTGCCTTATTGAACTCCTGCCTTCAAGAGTTCTCCCAAACAAAACCCAGCTTCTATTCACAGACCCATCAGGCAATGTCATGGTTTTCTCTTGGCGTCCTGTTCACAAAAGTCACTTTTGTCTGTTTTTACAGCCAGCAAAAAGATAAAGGCAGGTTGTCAGGGATTCTAAGCCATCCCTTAGCAGCGTGTGTCTCAGCTCTCTGGGCCTCCACTTGCCCACCTATGAAGGGGAAGAGCAGTGGTATCTACAGTGCAGCTGCCATGAAGATGAGACAAGACAGTGCTTACAAAGTGCTCAGCAACCGTTCGGAAGGAAGAGCGCAATTAAATTGTGGTGCTTATGAAGTTAAATGAACCTGGCATATGTTCATAGGCTGAAACTTTTAAAATTATTAAATACCATTCTTTGAGGAGGTTTCTACTTTCCCCACTTCACTTGTCGAGATCATGTTGTTTAAAAAAATAAAAAGAAGGTCCAAAACAGCCGCTCTTCAAGTCAGAGCTTCCTTCTCTAATCAGTCTGCGAATGTTTCGGGGAGTGCTCTATTTAACTTGGCTGGCCCCTGGTTTTGCCGTGAGTAATGCATTGGGCTTAATTTCAAACTCCACACAGCCAAGATCACTGGATACTTGAGCTTCCCCAAGCTGAGTTGATACAGCTGCTCTGCCCCTGGTCACTGGTGAGTTGTCCCTGAGGACTCCAAAGGGTCTTAACACAAACAGGTCAGTGTGCATGGGCCAAGGCAACAGTCAAGGACGTGGATTCCACAGAGAAGCACTCATGGCCGACAGGACTGGGCGACCTGCGGAGCCGAAAGAGGAGCCGGGGTTGCTGAGACAGAGACAGGAGTCGGGGTTGCTGAGACAGAGAGAGGATGGCCAGACGGTGTGGAGAGAGAGGCCTTCATGGGGTCTGAGGAGAGTACTGTTGTCTGAAGAATCCTTGCTCTTACCGAGGGAGTGCAGAAGTCCAGAAGACTAGGTCCTGAATGTGACATGAGCACAATTACAAACAAAGGGTGCTACAGCTCTGCAAGTGAGGATTTCTGAGACCAATTAGATCAGAAAACAGATACTTGGTTTTAAAAGAATTGAGTATGGCTTTCTTTTAAACACGGGCTTCATTACAAATAAAACTGTGTAAACTAAATTCAATTTAGACATTTTTCCCCCAGAAACGTAGCTCTCGTATGAAACAAGGCTTGCGGGAGGCACTTGAGAACAGTCTGTGAAACGAAGGACAATGTGAGTGGGCAAAAAGGAGCCCAGTGTTAATTCTGAGCCCGACATAACCTCACTGACAGGCAGGCTGGCTCACAGGTCCAGGAGGCTAATGGCTACGAGTGCTTGCTTTCCAGCTAGGAAATGTCTCTTTGGCTTCTGAGGTAGCAACACTCTTACCTTAAAAGGTTTGGATTGATGATCTGGGCCTAATAAAAGCGGATTCTCAAGTCTGTTGGGAAAACCAATCATTTCAAAAGTGAAAGATAATGAAGAATGTTCTAGAAGCAATATGATTATGAGTATACATTATAAATGATGATTACAATTAATCACTCTGGCCTTCATAGTCTCCCAACCTTATAACTTACTAGGGGTAGAGTCATTTCTTCTACCTTCTTCTGAAAGAAAAAATTAGTCTCCAACTATACATCTTTGCTTTTAGTCTGATTTGAGGTAGTTTTCACATTGTGACTGAATTCTCCATCTCTAAAAGATAGGCATATCATGGGGGGTTGAGAGAGTATATGAAGTCAGGGGACTTCAGAATATATTTGGCCCCTGAATTATAGGTGTCTAAGCAGCTCATTTGTCATTTCAATATGGTCACAGCACTGAAACAGATAATATTGTCATAAATATAAAATTCCCAAAAGCTGAATATTAGCCAATCGAATATACAGACACATTTAAAGGATCAACTGCCATGATTTTATTTCAAGCTACTTTTATTTCAGAAATGCAAGGTTGGTTTAGCACTTAAAAGTCAGTATAATTCATCACAGTAACAAAATAAAGAAGAAATATCATGATCATCTTAAAAGATGAATAAAAATAATTTGATAAAACTTACTACTTATTCATGATTAAAAATCAATTGTAGCTTGGTGTGGTTGCCCATGCCTTTTAATCCAGAATTTCAGAGTCAGAGGCAGGCAGATCTCTGTGAGACTGAGGCCAAGTTGGTCTACGTAGCAAGTTTCAGGCCAACGGGGACTACAAGGAGACCCTGTCTCAAAAAGATGCCCCCCAAAATCAATTGTATACTCATGACAATATTAAAAAACAGCACCTTAAGTTTGATATTTTAATAGCATTTTAAAAATAAGTGCTTCAATAGAAATAAATTCAGCAAAATTCACCTACCTAGTGTGTAAAAATGTAAAACATTACAGAGAATATTTTGAAAGGATATACTATACAAATTGGACTGAAAAAAAAAGTATTGTAAAAAGGCTGATGCTTCCCAAACTGACCTATTACCTGTGTGTAAAACTCATAAAAATCCTGGCACGTTTCTCTCTCTCTCTCTCTCTCTCTCTCTCTCTCTCTCCTCTCTCTCTCTCTCTTCTTTCCCTTCTCTTCCTCGCTCCTTGCCTTTTCTTTTTTCACTTGTGAAAATTGGTAAGCTAATTCTACAATTTATATGGAATTACAAAGGATCAAAAATGGTCTAGACATGGGCCGGGTATGGAAGTGCATGCCTTTAATCCTAACACTCTGGGGACAGAGACAGGAGAATCTGTGAAATCTAGGCCAGCCTGGGGCTACAGGGAGACCCTGTCTCAAACAAAACTAACAAACAAACAAAAAACAGAACAACAACAAGAACAAAAAAATAGTCCAGACAAAATTTAAGAAGAAAAAAGTTGTAAGTTCAAAGGTAAATATAAAGTAACACACTTAAGGCACTGTGATATTGGTCTAAACAGAGACAAATAGACCCAATGAACAGATTTAAAAATCTATAAACAGCTGTAGATAAAGTACCTGATTTATAACAGGGGCATCATTGAAGGCAGTATGTAAAGAACTGTCTTTTAAGTAAATGGTTCAGCTTTTCATATTTTTAAAATATTTTATTTATTATTTTTATTTTTGTGTATGAGTCATATTGCTTGCATGTGGGTAGGTGCACCCGTGTCATGCAATGCCTGACGGAGGTCCAGAAGAGGGCATTAAATTCCCCTGGAACTGGAGTTAAGGATGGTTCTTAGCTGCCATGAGGGTGCTGGGAATTGAACCTGGGTCCTCTGCAAGAGCAGTCAGTGCTCTTAACCGCTGAGCCATCTCTCCAGCCCCAGCTATTCATATTTTTAAAGATTACTTTGGCCCTACCTTACACCATTCAAAAAACTCAATTACAGATACATTTGAGACCTAAGTGTAAGAAATATAATAATAAAGCTTGTAAAATATGATGTAGAAGAATAGCCTCATGACTTAGGGTAGGTAAATCTAAACAAGATGTAAAACTCACTAACCATAAAATGAAAGACTAATAAATTAGTCTTCTAGAAATTAGGAACTCCTCCATGAAAAGAGAAAAGAAAAAAACACAGTGATACGATTAAGAAAATCAAAAGGCAAGTTATAGAGTAGGAGAGGGTGTTTTGCAAACTATATAAAAAATCATATCTGAAGTTGTGGTGATGGTTCAGCAGATAAGGTGCTTGCTGCACAAGCATGAGGACTCGAGTTGGGATCCCCAAGACCCCACACAGAAATCCAGGTGGGCATGGTGGCCCACTTGTAATCCAGGCGTACTAGGGTAGAGACAGGGAATCCCCAGAGTATGCTGACTACCTAGATTAGCTGAAACTGGGAGCTCTGGAAAGAGACCTGCCTAAAATATAAGGTGGAGCAAAATTGAGGAAGACACCCAATGTCAACTTTAGGCCTCCATACATACACATGTACCTGCACATACACATGCACTCATACACATACATGTATGTATATACAACATACTCTCATATGTATCTAAAAACCTTTATATCTGCAATATTTAAAGATTTTAAAAATATTTTATTTATTATTTTTATTTTTTATGTATGTGTGTAAGTGTACCTGTGGCATGCAATGCCCACAGAGGTCAGAAGAAGACATCATATTCCCTTGGAACTGGAGTGACAGACAGTTGTTAGCTACCATGTGGGTGCTGAGAACCAAACCTTGGACCTCTGCAAGAGCAGTCAGTGCTTTTAACCACAGAGCTGTCTCTCCAGTCCCTTAAAGATTTTTTTTTATATGAAACAACAGTATATAATGCATTAATAGTGGACAAAATAACTGAATAGTCTCTTCACAAAAGAAAATATCTAAATTGATACAAACTTTGGAAAAGATGCAAATTGGGCATTCTAAACGTCAGTCATAGTTCAGTACTGAGCACTTTCAGAATGTAGATTAGAATTGACAATGCCCAGAAATGATATGAACGAGAAGCAATAGGGATCTGTGAGCGTGAGGGTCAAGGTCACCAGGTTACATCTGAAAAATAAGGTGGTATCTACTGAAACTAACCTATGTGAACCATATGACCCAACCATTCTCTGTCCAGAGAAGTACATAAGGACACCAAAAGATACATCCAAGAATGTCCATAGCAGTGGCATTTTGATTAGCAAAAGACTGGAAACCATACAACTTTCTAGGGACACTACAATGGCAAAAGTTATGCTATTGACACAATGGAATACCCTACCACCTGCTGCCTATCATACATAAGAATCATAAATACAATATTAAAGAAATGGAGGAAAAATAGTGTATGCCTCTACGTGGCCTTGAGAAACAGGGGCAATGGGTCCATGCTCGTGGATGGGTGAAGAGGGGTTGCTCTTGGAGAATGGGGGCAGTGGGAACAGGTTGGGGTGAGGCCAGATCAGAAGGGTGGTGACATGAGTGGTGAGTGGTCCACTCTGAAAGTTCGTCAAACTAAACAAAGCTGCAAAGCGTGAAGTTTGCCAATAGCACGATGGCAAAGCCCTTGGACCCGAGGACTTGTGCAAATTTACCTGGAGCTGCATGTTCACCTTTGCAGGATGCCTTGAATTGCAGTCCTGGGGATGTCTGCACTCAGTTTCCACATCTGTCTGTTGACATGGCTCTCCCAGTCTCTCATTCTAACCCTTCTGCTTTCATTCTAAACCCGACATGTTGGTCCCAATCCTTCCTCTGGTTGCTTTGCCCTTAGAATTAATTCTCCTGTGCAACTTCCATTTCAACATTTCACTAAAGAAACTCTGGCATTAGGCTAGCTCTATTTTTTCTGAAAATATTTTACTAATGGCCTGACTCTTTTGTTTAGAATTTCACTCCTTTGTTTAATCTTTTGCCGTATAATGAAATTTCCATTATTACTGATAATTCATCATTACTATTAGATGATTTGGTTTGCCATCGTTATTTCCCTCCCCAACCGACAACTTAAAAGTTCTCTTCTCTGCTTTTCTGCTGAATGTGGTGAGGGCAAAGGGTGTGGAATAAGTTCTTTCTTGTTCTTCACCCTCTAGCTCAAGTGAAGAACCAGATGATCTGGCATGCAATGCAAGGTAGAAGAAAGAAGATTCAAAAATAACTAAAGTAAGTGCTTCTCAGTTGCCCAAAGTGCTTTAACAGATTACTTTCCTTGAAGATTTAGCTAAGGGGCCATCTGACCTGTGTCCTCTTACAGAACCATTTGGCCTTACTTTTATTTTCTTATTTTTCAAAATAAATCCTCTATCCTTCAATTGGAGACACTGAAGAAACCAGGGAGTTTGTATTTTTTTTTCTTTTTTTTTGTCCATACAAAGGTTTTGGCCAGGAATTTTTCAAACACTGGAATAAATTTTTAATTTGGACTTTGATATCCAGACAAGCCCAGCTCAAGTTCTCTTGGGTCTCCTTCCCAAAGACCAGACATCAAACAGACACTGTTCACTGTCTTAACAGAAGCAGCAGAAAGGCACCACATCAGCCACAGCCAAACCGCTGCGCATCCTGCCTGCCTGCACTGGACCCTGCTTGCTACCCCGCCCTCGCCAAGGCTTTCACTCTGTAGACCTGAAGCAGGGTTCTTCCGCCAAGAATGAATGAGCATGCAACCATGGGCAGGCAGTGCTGGGGACGCTGTGAGTCTGCCTGGAGAACCTGCCTGGAGCATTCTCAACAACACACAGAATCACAAAGAGGAAACAGCAAACAAGCACTATGGCATTTGGCTTCATTGTTTCCTTCCAGTTTTGATGCTGTCCTTTGCAACTGGGATTGTAGAAGACGCACATATGTTTATTATAGATGAGACCCCAGAGACCCTTTGGCTTAACTCTTGGTTTAACTTCTTGAAACTCCACTGGTAAAATAGAGAACAGGAAATAGAAAAAAAGAAACTGATTTTCTGTGGCAAGAACAGAAGTGGTTCATTTCCTTTTGGAGACTTAGATAGGAGACTACAAGGAACTGAAACTTAGTGCCCAGCGTCCCTCGGAAAAGTGACCGCCCTCACCCTGGGGCTGTTACCAATCATTTTCTGTTAATCGTCACCTGAAATAACCAGTCATAGGAACAGTGTAGAATGTCATTTGGGGCATGTCTAGCACACTCATGTCCCATAATGAAATACAAATGATTTCACTGCAATACTGGCAGGATTCTCAGAATAAATCATTTCCATTCTCACCATTTCAAGTCACATAATGTAACTGCCCTGAGCAGATTGGGGGAGTTAACTATTTTGGTCACCCAAGGTCTAGGCCAATTCCCCTAGTTACCTATGAGGATAAATTGCAGTTCTGACCTAATTTATGGCTCTTCCCTAAGACTGAGGGGCAACTACTTGCCATGTGCCAGAAGAGTCTAGAAAGTAAAGGTGACAAGCATACTTTTGAAGTCTTTCCAAGAATCTCTACCTCCTTCCTGTGGACTTGACTCTGAAGTAGCCTCTTGCAAACCCAGGTGCTCATGTGCCTTACTAATGCTGGTTTAACCAAGCTTTTCCACCAAACTGAATACTGATCAAAGCTACTATGGTTCTAGTATTTGTACGCTTCCCAAATTCATGTTGAAAGTCAATCCTAATAGTACTAAGAGGTGGAGTCTCGGGGATTAGCTATGAAGGCTTCAACTTTGAGAGTGTAGTTAGTGCAATAAGAAAGGGCTTGAAGGACTGAGTTCACATCAACATCCCTTTCCTCCCGTCTACCATATCATGACTCACCAAAGTCACTATCATTTAAGGAGAGTCAGCTCTCACTTGGTATCAGTGCTTGTGCCTTCACTTTGGACCTCAGAGCCTCTAGAACTGTAAAAATAAAGTCCTACTTCTAAATAACGAAGCCCAAGCTATTTTGTCATATGAGTCTAAATGGACTAAGATGAGACCCAGTTGTGGTATCTGCATTTCCCCTACCTTCTCCCAAGTTTTTCTCTTATTGTATTGCAACAAATAAGGCTTAAAGCCTCTCTTACATTTCTGAAGGGGACAAGTTCCATTATACACGCCACACTTTTGAGAGTTACTATACCCTCTGACCCATTTGAGCTAATCACCTTGTTCTACTGACCTCCTCAGCCTTTGGCCATGCCTTTCTATCCTATTTTCTATCTCCAATAGGCTGAGAAGCTCTGGGAAGAGAGACTTGGTGCCTTCCATCTCTGTGTCTCCACCATCTTCGGGAGTTGGCGTGGAACAGATATCTGAGGCAGCAAGTGAGGAGAAATATAGGTCTGGTGGTTCAGTTCCCTGGATCTACTTGAAAGCTGGCCACAGAATAAGAACTTCAGGGGAGCTTCTTGGAAAGGCTTTATGCCAGGATGGAAACATAAGAATGACGGCACCGTGAGCAGGGTCATGGTGGCTGGGCAGCCCCTCCTTCCCTAAAACCTGCTAGGGTTGTGTGATGCTCATACTCAGTCTTAGGTTTGACTCTTGTTACCAGGTGGCCTTCTTGCAGGCTCCCCTTGGTCCCCTGTGTCCAGGCTCCCTTTGGTCTACTCAGCATCATTCCACGATGGCAAATGATCATTCCAAAAGGGACAGATCTCACTGTTTTATTGTAAAGTATCAGATGCTCCCTCCCAGAACACCTCAGCCTTCAAGGTTCTCTGCCACTGCCTCTCCAGACCCTGTAGACCTCAGGCCATCCCTTTATTGCATCTTGTTTAGCATACTTTGTCTTTCAGCACATCTGTGCTGGTGGCTATTCTGCAGTTCCAGAACCAGTTGCAATATTATTTCAAGAAACTTGGCTAAAGGACCACAGACCAGCTGATTTTTCTCATACTTTGTACTCCCTCCTTACTAGAGTACCGCATCTGGACCACATCCTCACCCATCTCTTAACTCCTCATCCATTCCATTCCAATGTATTTTCAGTGTCCACTACCAGGCGTTAAGCCCACACCCCATAGTGAGAAGCTGGCTTTCCGTCACAACCCTGCAGTCCCCACCGGAGACCAGGAGTTTCCTCCTCTTGGCTGCTGCATTTATTTCTACCCTCAGGAAAAATAAAAGATGACTTGTCCAGATAGGCACGAGCCTTAATAATTGGGCTGCTGCCACCAGGGCCCTTCTCTGTGATGGTTTCAAGTAAATGGTGTTTCAGGCTGGTTTAAAAAAGGGAGCTGTGATCAGAATAGAAAGAGGGTTCCTCCTTCCTTATCCAGTGTCCCCTGAGAACTAAGTGGGTAATCCCAGTGGGACAATTGTGTGTCCCATTGTTGAATAAAGAAGAAAAGAAACAAATAGGGAAACAGAGGCAGGGAGGGAGACGAAACCCCAGTTGAGGACAATGCCCTATCCAGGGCCATGAGACAGTAGCTGGGTTGAGAAAGGGTCATGATTTAGACACAGGGGCTGTGCCCCACTTCCCTTCTAGGCAAGAGGCCAGCCTTATACATGGTTGGTTGGCCCTGTGGAGAAGGAATCCTTGGACGTGAGCCTGTGGCTTAGAGCTCACTCCTAGTGGGTGACAAAAATGAATTGGTTATTTGTTTTATGGTAATGACCTCCATGAGGCTACAAACTCTCGAGTTGCAGTCCGCAAGCCACGCGGCAGGCCTTCCTCTGGGTGTGAGAGGATTTCCTTGGTTTGGTGGGACTCATTTGTTTTTTAAGTGAGCCTATTTATTTTGTCATCCTTTAATGTTATGATTTTTTTTTTCAGACTCATGAGGAAGATACATAATGCTAGGCCGAATCTGCAGTTTCCTATTTTGTCAGCTGCTTGTGTTGATTAAAAGTTCAATAAAGATCCTGTGATAAAACAGCACTATGTTCAAAGGATCTTGTTAAGTTTTTAAAAGTCTAAGTTTGGCAGAAAAGATGTAGCATATAGGCTTGCTACCTTGATATATTCCCCTTCTTCCAAGATAGAAAGGGAGAGGACTAGAAAGAAAAACCCAGCAATTTCTGGAAACTGAGAGATCCTTAGCACACATTTAACCAAGTCCCAAATAATGAGTAAGGTTCAGTTTCAGTGAGAGAGGATTGTTTATCAGGCTGGTGTCAAATGTTTGATCCAATGGCCTGCTCCTCCTACAGCTCTGACTGACAGGCTCTCTGCAAGATGTCAGCCTAACTCCAAGAGAGAGGAGAGGAGGGCAGGAAGCAAGTGAGGTCACAGAGCTCCAGGAATTCCACACCCACTGATTCACCAAACTCACCCAAGACACCATTCTAGCAAGATTCCACTGAACTGCCAGGAACCCATTGCCTTGAAGACCAGGGATCACTCAAGGATCCCTTGAGAGGTGTCAGCTGTGCCCACCTGCTCCCCCTCCACCATTCCCTCCAGACAGCTGGTTCCTGGCAGCCGCCAGTCTCTCAACTCTTACTTTAAAGTAGGCCTACAAATGGCTGTTCGTGAATATCAGGCTAGCCAAAGTCGCTGACTTTATGCAAAGCAGGCAAGTGCAGTCAAAACACTTACAGCAATCAATTCAAGTTGTTGGGTAAAGTTTTTTCCATGTCCCATACATTATTGAACAGTTAATTTCGTCTTTGTGCCTGCAAGACATTCCAGCTCTCAGATGACAGCTTTATCCATTAAGGAGCACGCGGTGACAGCCTTACAGTGAGAGCCTTGCCAGCCCAGCCTGCAGGGAGGCGTGCCTGCATCACCGAGAAATCCTGGGACACATCAACATCTTAATCAATATGCGAGAGTCAATTACCGGGTACCGGGGAAGTGAGAGTTTAAGCAAGAGCTGATGATGAGGTTCACGTGAAAATGGGCTTGATCAATAAACAGCTAAATCTCACACATGCCTTCGTAGTGTTCCTCCCACAACATCCAGTCCCCAGCAGAAGGCCCACCATGCCCTCTTCCAGCATCTTTTCCAACCCACCAACCACCTATTCTACTGGAGCTTGCTTGGTTCATTTCCTTGATGAGTGTATTGGGAATGGAGAAAGCAGGGTTTGGGGAACAATCAAAACCAAATGTGTTGTTGGATACATAAGCTGGTCCTTCAGATAGACCACCTGGAGGAGGCACGTCCGAGAGGAGCATTTGGCCCAACTTCCCCATGCACTAGCATACGCCTTACATCTTCGTAATGGCATCCTCATCTCTACCACTTAGAGAAGCATTCTCTGATTCCCTGGACAAAAGCCGATGGTTTCAGCAAGTGCCGGGTTGATGCCTGTGTCTGATTTCAAGACAAATGACTGCAAGATTGTTTTTCTCATGAGATTATCTGATTCACAACAACCTGGCATTATTACTGAACAACCTTTAAGGGGATTTCCACATCCCTGGCTTCTGCTTATGATTGAAAATATTATCGTCCTTGTAGTCCAGGTGGTCCCCTTGTTCTCTAGCTCTGTGATCTCTCAAGCCCTCTTTATCGTTGCCCTGTCGCAACCTGCTTGCTGAATTTGGCCCGTATAGGAAGCGTTGAAAAGGAAGCACAAGTATTTTACTGTGCAGGTAATTGTCACTAAAGATTTGGCACCAGACCCACAAGGATTCTGAATGGAGAGTTCTTATCACATCCTTATCAGCACACCTTTGGAAACTCCCTACTGCTCTCTCAAATGGCCACACTTGGAGCACATCAAGTTGTTGCCTCCAGTTATCACCTTAGCAGTTCTACAACATTGCTCTCATCCCCAAGAATCATCATGCAAGCCCCTAAGAGAGTTGAGGGTTGCTACATTACAGTTAGTTGTCTACACCTTCTTCCATCTCTTCCTAACTGTTCTTCAGGGATTTGATAGTATTAAGAACACACACACAATATACAATAAGAAATGATTAAAAACCACCAAAGGAATAGGAAAATAGAAAGACTGAAAGAAAAAGACAAGACCTTGCTTTTCTCTGAGTAAGGAACATTGCCAGGGAGCTTTCTGGGGACAGAGGTGGAATTCTGGGTGTAGAAATACTGGAAGCCTGGAGAATGGGCACCACTGGGGATGTTTCTAGTGGGGTGGAGATCAAGATGGGCATTGTTGGCTCTGAGAAGGGGACACAGGGTAGGGAGAACAGACCAGGCTTGTTCATGATGACTTGAGGTGACCATAAAGGAGGCCCAGCAAGGTAAAAAAGGAGATTAAGACTAGAAGGAAAAGGACTGATCTTGGCCTTGATGCTGGTAGTCCAGAAAGCTGAGGGAGTTTACAGAAGAAGAATTTATCTTTGATCTAATTCATTCACGAGGGTGTTTAGGCAGTGATTGGCATGTTTGTAAGGGACAAGAGTGAAGTTCCAAGCTGGAGTGAACTGCCTCTGAGCCTACGGTCGGCTGCCACCCATGTGTAGCAGCCTTTAGAGAGGTGCGTTGTCGACACCATTTCCTAAGTGTGGAAATTGCAAGCCGAGAGTAAACTGACTTCATTAGGATCACCCAACATGCAATTTGGGAACTATAGTTCTAACTGGACCCTAAAGGCTGAGTGCTGAATGGAATAACACCACTTCCTTTTCTGTAATTGATGATGAACATGAGCCTGGAGCGGTCTGAAGTAAGTCTATGTTGCTGGTGTGGGTCTATCTGAGCCTGAGGTATATGAAATCCCATCTGATAATGAGAATGCAAAGCTGCTCTGTGTCTCCTCCACTGACTACAAGCTCTTTGGAGCTGAAGGAAAGACATTCATGGCAACACCACCATTATTTAAGGGAGTAC